TCCGATAGCGAAAAATACATGATTCCTGAGGGCTTACTGCTTTTACTGGAAATGCACTCGCGGTCAATTTTATTAAAGTGAGACAAAATAGACGTAGTCCTCCCGTGTCATTTTGTTGTAGACTTTTGTGGGTGAATTCCGTTCAATAATAGAGTGATGCCAGAGCCAACAGCAACGTCACTGATACACTTTACAAGTCTTTTATTTCCTACCTGTAAAAAAAAAAAATCGCTGAAATCGTTCGAGGAAGCAATCTGTGACAGATTGCTTTCCCGGCAGATGACAATCATTTGCAGTGACTTTTGCAATGAAACCTGCTTTAACGGCTGGGCTGAAATGTTTCTTGGTGCTTGAAAAAAAAACACTCTCTAGGAAAGCATGTAAATGCGACATTCAGCATTTCACTTATCTTAACGATTCCGGCTTGGCCCACTTTAATGCTCAAGCTCGTTGCGACGGCCACGAGATGTACAGTCACGCCTAATATTAGTTGCAACACGCTGGCTGTGATTAAAGTGACCCCAAGCCTGAACAATGGCCCCGAAAAACGCTAAATTGGTTCAGAAAGTACCACTGAGATAATTTAATTCACTAACCTTTTTTTTTCTATGTATAGTTCTGCGCGCTTCGAAGTGTTGACGCTATATTGAGCACGGACAGCATGTTGCAACGCATATTGAGCTTCGCAATTGTACCTCTCACTGGGCCACCCGGGCGCCGATTAATGGAAGAAGTGAAAAATCATGCTGGTCGCCGGAACCATGGAATCGACTTGTAAAAAAAAAAACGGTTACTAAAAAAAGGAAGAGTGAAAAGCGGGTGAGTAGGGCCCCGGTCCTGGGCTTCACTGGCCTTAGCAGACCGTCGCGCCCGTTTGTCTAATGTGCGAAAGCCTCTGTCAAGACTTAATGGTTTTTTGCTTTCGCTCCACAACATTATATACAGGGTGTTTCAAGAAATGCGTCCAATATTCTTTAAAAATCACAGATAGGGGGTATCTGTGTGCTACTTGTGGCGTTACCTTTCCTGTGACAGAAGACATCTTCAGATGTGCACACACATTAATTACTGCAGTAATTATAGAAATTAACATAATTACCTTTTTACCCAGTGGTGATAGCTAGTCGAGTCAAATGGGCGAATTCAAGTCCTTCCAACGAGTAGTCCATAACACTTTTAAATTTTCAAAAAGTGGCCACTGATAATGCCCGCGGAGCGATCCAATAAGTCTACTTTAGCTTGAGAAACCGAAACCAACGCATTAAAAATAAAAACCTTCATTGTTGTAACAGTTTCAGCATGGGAGGCGTACACTAGGGAACAAGTTTAACAAGCAGGCTTTTCCCACCATCCAGCTGCTTCCGGCCCCGACACCCACACTGCGATGTCTGGAACAAATATGAGGCGGACGTTTTGGTAAAGTGCGTTGAAACTTTACTTTTCGCTACGGTCACCCATATCGTTGACGTCTATTGACGCCAAGAAAAGAAACGCCGAGCAAACACCGCCGAGAGCGCTATATGTAGTTCGGCCTTGGTGGTGCCTCCGCGTGTCGTAAGAGCACCTGCGGATCAGCACCAACGGAATGTTATAGTCGCGGTGAAATTAAGCGGGCTCGCACACGTACCCAGGCACAGGAAGAACGTACTGCTGCGCGTGCGAGAAACTCCGCAGCTCCACACACATTCGACCATGTTCACTACATTTTACATTTCGTACGGTTTCTGAATCTCCTATAGCCTTCGTAAAACAGCACTTCGATAGCAGCACTTCGTAAAACAGTACGAAGTGCTGCTATCTTATTCATTGCTTCGGCTTTGTGCCGAAGCTATGACTTTTTAATTAGGAAGACAGCTAATGGCATAACAAACATAAATAAGAATACCAGAGGCTCATCACACATAAACAATCTTGGAAACATTTCGGCGCGCACACGATAGACGAAAAAAAAAAAAAAACGAAAGGGGAGTGACAAACGGGCTCGTTTGTCTTTCGCCTTCCTTTTCTTTTCTTTTTTTTTTGTCTACTGTGCGCGCGCCAAAATGTTTCCGAGAATTCCCTCAGACCAACTCGTCCGACTTTTCATACTGTTACATTAAACAAACAAGTTACACTCGTACGTGAAGTTTAACAAGGCTTGGTGACAAGGTCTCCTTGTTTTTATCCACCAGTGTAAGTCGGGAGGGCGACCGGTTGCTCTGTGAAAGTGAATTAGAAGTGTGGCAGCTTGGGCTAGTTGGTATGGCATGACGATAGTTATAGCGCGAGAACAAAACGACGACACACAGAGACAAGAAGGACACGTGTCTCTCATGTCTTTCGTGTCCTTCTTGTCTCTGTGTGTCGTCGTTTTGTTCTCGCGCTATAACTATCGTCGTGAAAGTGAAGGCACGTTTGCTCTTGACACGGGCGTGACCAGAGCAAGGGTGTCACGTCCTCTGCAGTTATACAGCGTCACGAAAAGAGCATTTGTTTCTATACGCTGCGTGGTAGTGTTGCGGCCACTGGGCCGTCACTGCCGGCGTAAGATCAAGCCCAACTCGAGGTCTCCGAAGCACCATGCACCTCCTATAAAAAGGCAAGCTCACCAGGATGATCAGAACCACGTGGCGGTGAGAGTGCTCGTGTGGTGCGTCGGAGACATTGCCTCTGACGCAGCAGTTTTCCGCAGTTAGCTTCGGGGCTTATCTGAATCCAATAGCCAACTTCGCGCCAAAATCATGATTACACTAACATACAAAGAAACTAGCTTCTACCCAACGCACAGGCAACGTGCTTGAACCATCTTCTACCTAATCACACTAATGAAATTTTTTAAATATCATACTTCCGACTCGTACATGTTGACTGCAGTTTCACACACATTTACTTTCCTGCTTCTGTATGAAAAAACCGCAACCGCAATTTCTCGCGTCACCTTGTTTTTGTTTTTCTTCCCCAAAATCCAGAGCTCTGCTAAGCGTGGCGTGTACCCACATGCAAGACGCGGGCTTAAATGCGCACCGTCCTTATTTCTTACAGTGAGAGTGTGTTGTCTTGTTCGATCCTTTACGCAGCGCCTCACATGGCCAAGATGGCCCTTTCCTCACGGTTCGGGTATTTCAGAAACTAACTTTAGTGACAGGTTGTGTTGATGGCCGAGCATACTTTGTTTTGCAGCTTTTCGGCTTTTGAGCATGACTTCCAGCAATTCGAGGGCAGAACGATAGAATAAACGAAATAGAGTATTTAGGAAGTTTTAGAATAGCGCACCGCGAGGCCTTGCGGTGTGGACGCGGCCACTGCGCAAGCGTTGTAACGCGAGCAGCCGTTGGCGTTCGCGGCCCGCCCGCAGAAAATCCGACGTAGCGGACGGCGTGCGCGGCCCGCAAACACCGATTTTGAGGCTACGGTGTCACTGCGATTGTGCGTTGCGGTTTGCAGGAGGCCAAACGCTACTCTAAATCTCATATGGAACCCGCTACGCCGGCAACGCCTGCAAACGCCATTCTAAAACTGCCTATTGTAAATAAGAATGGTCAATAAGAAGAATGGTCAATAAGAATTGTCAATAAAAAGGCTTAATTTTACGATCTACAGCTCGTTTACATCGCGGTGACCGTCCAACTTCGCGGGGATCTGTAAAATAGAAAATACATCGTGATAGCGTTGCTGAGGGTGTGAAATCATTCGCGATTTTTTTAAGATGTTCGCAAGTTTCGCGAAGTGCGGTTGGTGTAATCGAAAATCTCTGACAATAACTACCCCTTCGCTTCACGGGCACTCAAGTCAATTCAGTTGACAAGAAAATGCAATCTACTCTTGTTTCAGTGAGATAAAAACAAATAAGCGGCCTATTGTTTTTATTGTCGCATGTTTGCAAACTCAGAGTCAGTCAGAAAGCCACGGCAACACAAGAACAGTGATTCATTTCAGTCAATAAGACCACGTCGCGCATTATTTGAAACATACGCGTAACAGAATAAATTACTACTCCCAACAAACCTTCCTTTCGGTCTTTCACTGAAACAGAAACGTTTTAGAAGTCTAACTGTTAAAGTGGCTTTGGCTTTCGTTTACGCTAACATGTGCTTCGCAATCAAGAAATGAGAGTATCAAGTGTACATATCTAAAACAGGGCGAACCGAGCCCCTGAAATTGACCTGATTTATTTCTTTGATTCATGTAGGCTGGTGTTTTCTATCAGCGTAGTACAGCAAGCAAGATTAGCGTCTTGCTGCTTTGCCGTTTTCTTACCTTCCTCTGAATAGCACACATTTTTAAAGTGTTTTCTTTGCTTTCCAGTTTTATAGACAGCTAGACAATCAGAATCTCCTTGTAAGCCTACAAACTAATTGTCACTTAAGGCGATACCAATGAAAAAGAAGGTCACTGTACGGAAAGAAACACACAACAGCGGACATAACATAGGTTCTACTCCGAAAGCGAATAGGTGTCCATGGCAGCGAATATCGAAAAGTACATTTTTTTTTACACAACGTCCACGACATGTACCTATGAGCTAGAGGCTGAGCAAGAAGCGAAACGTGGCAGTGATAATTGATACATCTTCGTCTTTCAACTTGTATACGGTCTTTGTACAGCCTGAAGGGAAATTGCAAAACTTCAATGCGGTATGAGCAGTGCAACTGAGCACGTTAACATGGCGCGATGCAGTCGTTGGCTATGAGAGGAACTCTCCTGACAAACGCGAATGAATTGATGAGCAAGAGATGGTTCGACGAGCCCGCAGACCTGTAACTCTTTTAGTACGGCGAAGTACACGGCGGACTGACACATGCGCCTGCTCAGCTGGGCCCGCATTCACAAAAAAGCGTCTTGCGATTAGAACTTTTGTAAGCTAATATATTAGTCAGTCACAACATGGGATATGTGATTAGCGAAGCCGATTGACCGATGGGGCACCGTACTCACGAACAAGAAGTTCTGTGAACACGGCCCCAGTTCTCGAAGCGCAAGCCACAGGGAAAGTGTCACACACTCGCACAACTGCGCAGCCATCACACTGCACTTGTCACCTCCTCAATAGGTGTCATGGTGGACCGGAAGATGAGCGGCTCGTGCGAGCACCGCGCAACGTGCATCTTGGGCGACACGATCACGGTTCGGTCTCTGGAACGAGCGCACTCACAAAGCTGTTCCGCATCCACCGCACCGGACGCGCCAGTCTCCGCTGAGACCCTATTGTCCACTGCACGTTCAGAGAACTGAGGAGGCCCGACTACCATGTCCGCCACTTCGTCATCGAGACATTCAGCGTCCAACGGTAGCGCGGCCAGTGCTGGCTGGTCGAGAAAGTCCACAGACGTGGCCCACGACATGGTCCGCTGATAGCACAGCAGCGACCCGCGGCAGGTGCACGGCGTGTTGTTGACCACGACGCCGTCAGGGACCTCCACGGTCGGACTGCCACCCTCGAAGCTTCCTTTGTTTGGGCTTTCGTAGCCGCCGCCGGGGCGGTGATGGCGCGCGCGGCAGTAGTGGGCCGCCGGCGTAAAGCTCTGAGGGCGGTCACCGCAGCACGACGTGTCGTGCGAATAGCTGCTGTTTTGACGCTGGCGCTGCTGCGTGGCGTGGTGGTGGCACAGCTGAGACTCGACCCTGGCGGCGTCCGGCAGAAAGAACAGGCTCGTGGCGCCCGCGAAAGTGCACGCGGCCGAGAAATAGAAGCCCGCCTTGGGGTCCTCCCGCGACTTGCTGATGTAACCTGCGTTTGCGTGGGCGTCGTATGAGCAACCATGAGTTATCGAAACTCTGTTGGAATTCACTTTCTTCCGTGAACGTTAACGTCGAACAAACAAAGCGACGTAAGCAGCACGTCAAACACACGGGACTAAGAAACCAACGAGGACTAGCGCTGACTTCCAACTGCAATTTATTAACGCGAACATAGAAAGACGAAAACAAGATAGCACACGTGACCACGACTAATTTATTTGCACATGGTGGCCAACTTTAATAAAGGAACCAAGACACACGCACACAGTCAATTAAAAACCACAAGTAAACGCGAAAGGACCACAAGCAAAGCGCCCGTAGTATATCTAGGTTATTTGACTTGATGAACTAAGGTAATCTATTTCTTCGTCAGAAAGAGTGATTGACGGCTTGCTGATGTAATAACCATTAGGGATCGCCGCACCTTCAATGATTAAGGGCAGTCTATCGATTGCTGGAGCATGCCCGCATTGTGAACAGTGAGTTGCAAGCTGAACCTGTGCGTGCCAAAGTAGCAGCAGTCGGTGCCCACAGAAGACCTCTAGCGAATCCATTGCATCAGCCGCGGTCATGTGGTTTCGCCTTTCAGGTGCAAGTGCGCGCATTTTAAATCTATAGCACCAGATTGCCGACATTACGCGATCTCGCCAGCGATTCGCGCAGACTCTCGCACATAGAAGTCGCCATACCGAAGATGCAGCTTTACGGGTTCGTGAAGCGGAGAGCCTACAACTTTTAAACGCGGACTCCCGAAGCCGAGACAAAACGGCAACGAAGGATACCGTCATTACTGAGGGCCGCAAGGACCACTTCAATGAATGTCCAAAGGCAGGATCGCTGAGCACAGAAAGCGTCTCTGCACGACCGTCTTTCTGGCGAGATGGACCGTGATTCTTTTTGCTTTGTAAGGTAGGTCGGAGAATGCGATAGCTACACGATTTTTTTCTTGTGTGCATATAAGCCTAATATCTGAGTCAGTTAGTGCATTGAACTGTTTCTTCTGTACCTGTTTCGTTGTAACCTGGACCCTCATGCCCCTCATGTTGGTGCCGCTGATGTTTGCAAAACAGAATACGACACGGAGCAAAGCAACGTACCTGTAACAGGAACTCCTACAAGCACCGGCAAGCACTGCGCCCATTGGACGAAACCCCACGCGCGGCCAAAGTGCCTGGCCCTCAGCCGCTCGAAGACGAGCATGCGCAGCGCGTACGCCACTGCGCCGGCACTGGCTCCGTACACGGCAGCGAACAACGCGTAGCCGGCAAAGCCGTTCAGTGCTCCGAGTGCCAGCATGGCCAGGCCGGCACCAAGTAGAGACAGCTGGCAAAGGCAGCGCCGGCTGAGTACGCACTGCGTGGGATGCCGCACCAGCAGCAGTCCAGCTACGCCAGCGCCACCCGCGGAGGCGAGACCGAGGAGGGCTTGCAACGCCCACGCTCCTTGGACGCCTTCGGCAGCGCTCAGAGGCACCTGATCAGTGGGAATGAACAAATAAGTTGCGATAACGAAAAAAAGATAGGTTAGCAATCACAGATATTCATTCAAATAGACATCTGTGACACAGAATAACAAGGACACCGTAAATATCTGCGTCAGGGGTGCATGATACTGCAGCAATATACGCGTGCGCAGGCTTTACCACTAGAAATAAAGGTGAGGGGGAGGGGGGGAGGACTTGCCCAGTGCTATCGCAGTGTCACATTGGTCGTGGGGGAGGGCATGGACACCTCGTTTATTTGAGTTGTTAAAACCCACATAGAAGTAATCATCGAAGCACAGTTGCAAAATGACTTGCATAAAGGTCATCGTGTGAACAGAAGGTTTTTTCTTTTTTCAAGTCTTTTAACACGTTTTTGAAAGTGAAGCAAAAAACATAACGTACCCACAAGAGGCTCTTGTACCACGTGAATAGTTGAAGACAAGGGCTAAGCTGCTGAGGAACGGTCAATACTAAAAGCGAAACAAAATTATGGTCTAGTAGTCCAAGAACCGATACAGTGGAAAACAGCATCCGCGACGTCGCTTCAAAGGCCCTGGATCACACTACAGTGTTCACAGGCGAGACATTAGTTTCTTTCTCACCTTCACAACCCTTCCTACATGGACTGTCTCCTCCTTGCCACTTATTTTGTCGTAAAGCACGTGGAATGACAGCACTTAAGGGTTCAGCTGGTGAGGATTTCACCTTTTTTGATTACATGCTGCCATCTCCACTAGTGCACTCGCTAACTGTGATAACAAAGTCAAATCAGTTTATCGCGCACAATAGTCATGCAGAACAACGCAGAACAGGCACGTGACTGCATGACAAGCAGGGTAGAAAAAAATTCACAACAGGTATTCCTGCTGTATCTATCAGTCCAACGCTGAATTCGTCCCGACGTCACGTGAACTGCTGACGTCAAGAATCGGGCCGCAAACAAAACAAACACTGGCAGAGAAGAAGGCGATCGTTCTTTCTCGTTCTTTGTACTGCTTTGAAAGGTTGTTTAGGGCCCCTTTAACGTCGACTTTATACGCGACGCACTAGTGCTTACGAGGCAGAAGAAGGGGGTGTAGAGTCCGGCTGCGGCAAGAGCGGCGGTTACCATGACGACCCTCAGCGTGCGCGTGCGCAGCGCGGCAAAGTCGAAGAACGGCGGCTTCTCGGTGCGTGGTCTCTTCTCCTTGATCTTGCGCCGCTGGTTCTTGAGGTGCAGGATGGCGCGCCGTTGCGGGTGGTACAGGGACGCTGACCGGTAGAAAGCGCCCAGCACGAAGTTCAGTGACACCAGGCCCGTTGCGGCCTGAAGACCGTGGCGCCAGCCCAGGGACCTGTACACCGAAATACGAGTGCCTAAATATACTTTTAAGGAAATTTCGAAAACATAGTTGTGCGTAACGAACGTGTGAATAGAAAAAAAATCATATATATGGTCGAAAAAGAAAGCCGCATATTTCCTTGTGCGTTTGCCTAAAACGACTTGAAAGATAAATCCATCTTCTTATCAATTCATTGTATTGTCACGGGGTCGTGACGTGGCCGAAGACAGGAGACTTCGTGTTGGGATTTAACTGTTTATTTGGGCGAACCTGGGCCCTGCAGTAAATGGAAAGTCCAATTACAGCAGCAGTCTTGCCCAGATAGCAGTCTCGGACTGATAGCGGCGAACGTAGCGTCGGCCTTCGTTCAACAACTCACAAGCGGTGAAGCGTGTCGGCATTTATACTCTTGCCGTCGAATGTTCTAGCGTTATCGCTGGCGGTGGCGTAGGTTCCAGAACAATCTGTACCGTTCGCACAGTGGGCGTGATCTTATCGAAATGATCTACTACAGTCCGCAACCTTCTCGAAAACTGCAGGCGCGGTTTGCGCTGAGAATCGTGTGGTGTTTTGGGGCGATAACAAAAGCTTGGGAAATGAAACGTGGCATTATTGTGGACCAAGAGCCGTTGGCCTCAACCACTAATGATTGATTGATATGTGGGGTTTAACGTCCCAAAACCACCATATGATTATGAGAGACGCCGTAGTGGAGGGCTCCGGAAATTTCGACCACCTGGGGTTCTTTAACGTGCACCCAAATCTGAGCACACGGGCCTACAACATTTCCGCCTCCATCGGAAATGCAGCCGCCGCAGCCGGGATTCGATCCCGCAACCTGTGGGTCAGCAGCCGAGTACCTTAGCCACTAGACCACCGCGGCGGGGCTGGCCTCAACCACTAGACCACCATGATGGGGGATCGCAAGCTAAAGGCAACTTCATTAGAGGAAGAGTCGGCAATCCATTAGTATGCAGTATGAAGGGCACTCGCTCAGACACGAAGATCCTCTTTTATTTTTGGGATGGAAAACAAAACTCCTTGTTTGCTTTAACATGCACCCCAGTGAGCCCTCTCACCAAGGGAACACCAGGTTCTGGGGCCATGTTGTTATTTCTGTTTAGTAAAAAGCACCGAGAAAAGCAACACCGTTTACACAATTGAAAGCTGAACGGTGAATACCCCGCGTAAACTGAAGCTCCACCCCAAACGGCTCCCGGCACGTATCTGATAAGCATGCTTAACGACTTATTACTGCTAGCGCAAAAAAAAAGAGGGAAAAACACTGGTTTTATATTTACCAAGCATGTCTCATAAGCCGAGCCCGCCCTGTTAAACAATTCTAATTTCTCGCACGTGCGTGTTGGGGCCATGGGGTTAGAATGAAGACGTACATACATTCCCCGTATACGGGACATCGATGATCAAACAGTATACTTAGACGCTATTCGCAACACTTTCTGCACTAACGACACACCTGGATGCCTCTAGCAGCTCACAAAATTCACGAGACAACTACAACAAAATAACACTTCACAACGAGCGCATCCCTTGCGCTGCTCCGTTTAATGACCTCTTTGAAGCTATTTCGCCTAGCGTGTATAAGGTTTCAGCGACTTGCGGCGTTTACATTTTCTTTTATTTCCATCCCGCTTCCAGACCCGTGCCCGAGATAATTCAGCGCTTGGGGAACCTGATAAGCGTGCATTGCTTTTCTTATTTCTTTTTTTTTTGTTTTTATTGCTACCGACAGCCAACGTGCGGTCGTTTTTAAAGCCCACGGGAAGCGACGGTTCCATTAGCGACGCTGCAACGTCCGACCGTCAGTCCGGTTGACGCCCACGCAGTCGCAGGAACGTGCCGTCGAAAACGAATCTGATACGGCGCAGCGAGTTTCCTGAAACACCGCATTATTATTTTTGTTTTCTATATAGCAAGCCTGCGAAAGAGTTGCCGACGGATCACGTTAACAGGGCGAACGTTGCCTCACGCTTCGTCACGCTGTAGAGCTCGAACAACGACCAGGCGACGTGCTAGAGGAGTACGCCCGTGGAGGTTGAAGTTTGGAAAACAATGTGACACTTTTAGCGGGCATGGCTCGCTTAGCCCTCACGTAATAATAATATGCGGAATTTTACGAAACATAACCGCGATATGGTTATGAGGCACGTGGTAGCGTCAGGCTCTGGATAACTTTATTGATCTGGTGTTCGTTAATGCGCTCTTGAATGGCACTGTACGGAAGCCCTATAACATGTCGCCTCCATCGTATACTGAGTCCACTGCGTACGGGTTTGAACCCGGGGCTTTCCGGTAAACTGTCTAGCATCGTAACCTTTGTACTGAAAAAACGGATGCTTGGCCGTTTAGAAATGTCCCCGGAAATAGCAGGGCATTATTACCATCCACTTAGCTCCTGCAACACAATAGAAGGTGCTTATCTATCTATCTATCTATCTATCTATCTATCTATCTATCTATCTATCTATCTATCTATCTATCTATCTATCTATCTATCTATCTATCTATCTATCTATCTATCTATCTATCTATCTATCTATCTATCTATCTATCTATCTATTCTACTATCTATCATCTATCTATCTATCTATCTATCTATCTATCTATCTATCTATCTATCTATCTTCTACCTATCTATCTATCTATCTATCTATCTATCTATCTATCTATTATCTATCTATCTATCTATCTATCTATCTAGATGTCTGTCTATCTATCTATCTAGATGTCTGTCTGTCTGTCTGTCTGTCTGTCTGTCTGTCTGTCTGTCTGTCGTTTTATATCGCAGTTCCTTTTGATTTACTTTGTCTTTCTCGGCAAGCCACCTGTGACAGTTTACTGTTATACATGCTGAGGAGAGAAACGACAGGGTTATTCATATATGAGTCTTCATAAAGGCACGACCGACGTTGCTTGCTACTAATATAAAAAAATGTCGTCTGTCATTGTCATGCTTACCTCAAAGAATTTCTCGCTGCAGTTTTATAGGCCAACAGAGAAGCTTACATGAATACTAGTAATATTGTCTCCACTATTAATGTAGATGGGGTCACAGATTACAAATCACGTCAGCGCACCCAAGCACCGAGTGAAAGAACGCCGCCATGGCCGCCGTGCCCAATCCAGAACCGGCACAGGCAACCACCTCGGCGCAGTGTCGGCGTCGCTTGAAGTACTGGCCGAGCACCACGCCCCCGGCGTCCCGCGCCATGCCCAGGCCCAGGCCCAGCACCAGGCCCTGGCTGAACAGGCCCTGGTGCAGCTGCGACGCGAAAGATGAGAACAGGCAGCCCAGCGCCGCAACCAGGCCACCTAATACTGCTGTGAGACGGACGCTCTTGCGTCGGCACCAGGCCACGACCACGGGAGACACGAACAGCGAAGAGGCTAGTGACGCAGAGCCCAGCCACGCTGCAATGGACAGATAAGTGGGACAAGACGGTAAGGCATATCAATGAAGCAGCTAACAAGCAGTTGGCGTCCGAACTTGCAGTTTTCAGGTGAACATCTGTGCGTGATGATATCACAATACTTCTTTAAATAAAGGTTAAACTGATGTGTTTTTACTGTGTTGCCTTTCTGTGACCCCACCTTATATTCCGCAAAGTGTTACCACGAAGAGGGCTTCACCTTTATTTGATACCACAAAGCGGTGCACTTCACTGCCTACAGTACATAAGGTACGTGAGAGTGCGGTTCAATACAGAAATATAACGTAATACGAGAATTCAAACAAGCATATGAAACAGCTCTGAGTGCAAGTATTTTTGCAGAGTAACGTTGAAGAACGAATCAAGAACGAAGTGCCGTTCTACCTGTCTGTATTAAGTTCTTTGGCATTATTTTATGTTATGTAGAGCTTAAAGTGACTATATCAGTACTTCGTACCATTAAGTGCTGACTATCTTGAGTGACATGCGTTTTTGCTAGGGCGAGACGAAAAACGACACGCCAACCGATTAGCGATCGTTCTGTTAACAAGCACTGAGGTAAATTCGCTGTATTTAATCACGCAATATCACTACGTTTCATGAACCTGATAAATATAATCCGATTGAAGACGTTTGAAGACATCATGTCACGACACGTAATCTTGAAAACGAAGGTAATCGTTGTTTAGCCATCCTTTCAAGAGTTGCTTGTTGTACATGTATAGTTTATGGATGCACCGCATGAAGGCGTTCTAGCCAACTCCACGGTACCAAAGAACGATGGAATAGAAGTGGGAATAATCATATACACTTTGAACATATTCCAGTCATTAATGTCGTTTAAATGCATTATTTTTTTCTTGTCCAACTATCTTAAGAAAAATAATAAGGTAGAATTTGAGCGATGAAGAAGTGATGTCCACAATCAATCAACTGTAGGTTGAGTCAAATGATAGTCATCCAGGTGTCATGGTATTAACACACGCGTCATCGTAAATTACAGACACCAAGGCGTTGTATGCTTTAATCATACAAAAGTGCAGCACGTGCAGCGCACGGGTGAAAGGTTGTGTAAATATATGCTGTGGCCACATGTCCACATAACGAACAAAGAGAGCGATATTGGGGTGGCATGGATAATTGGGCTAGTTGGTATTGATACATCTTTTAACTGAATAAGGGTGCGCACACTTACGCGGACACATTAGTTGTGAATAAACTTTAGTTGCGAGTGGCACTTGTGTTGTGTGCATTTTCTTGTTCTAGTGTCCGTGTCTGTGTGCGCCCCCTTATTCATTTAAAATCGAGCGGCATTGTTCCGCTTTACGACAGCTTACGTGACCAAGAATAAGGATAACAAAAGTCCGCATGCCAGCATTCTACATTTTATCATCAAACAAAAGTGCTCCACGTTTTCTGAGAGCAGTGCCACTAACGATATTGCAATTCTCTCTTTCCTTATCATTTTTTCAAAGCTTCACAAATCGCTATTGTAATGTGTACAAGCGAAACTAGCTAGCTTCGCTTCGTGCCCCAGATCAGTCAACAAACAACAAAATAACACTTTTGATGAAAATATTCTCCGTATTATAAAGTAGTGTCTGTGAATTTTTTTTTTTTGAGGATGTGTTTTCTTTGGTGAAATGAAAAGCTTGCTATTGTAAGAGCGAAGACACAGTTAACCGGGAAATAATGCACGCAAGAAAACCGCGACTGTGCACACGCACTGTCCTTGATATGTTTACTCCAAACAATGGCTCCTTCTTTATGTTAGACGATAAAAAGAGCACTTCAATTAGATTTTAAAAAATGTCTTCTTACTGCGATTAGGCTAGCTTGATACACGACGGGATAAAATAGCGAGGAGTATTGTTTTTATAAACGTGTGCGTTGAATGTCCTGTCGCTATTCTCACAGAGCCACCGGGCAGGCACCCCGCCGTGGTGGTCTAGTGGCTAAGGTACTTGGCCGCTGACCCGCAGGTCGCGGGTTCGAATCCTGGCTGCGGCGGCTGCATTTCCGATGGAGGCGGAAATGTTGTAGGCCCGTGTGCTCAGATTTGGGTGCACGTTAAAGAACCCCAGGTGGTCGAAATTTCCGGAGCCCTCCACTACGGCGTCTCTCATAATCATACGGTGGTTTTGGGACGTTAAACCCCACATATCAATCAATCAATCAATCAATCAATCACCGGGCAGGCAGTCGTAGCAGGCAAAAAAGAGCAAAAATACCACAGATTCCTCATAGTGTGCAAAGAAAATGGACGCTAGAACTTCCACATCGTAGGCTCTCTTACGTTAATTTTGCTGTTGGCTCGCCCTTTGTTAACCGCGAGAGCAAAACAGTTCACGGGTCAATTATTACAGCACGCTAAAGTGTTAATCAAGAGAATGTTTTCTTTCGTCGTATAGGAATGAACAAAATGAAAGCAAAATACAAACATTTCGTGTGTGCACCAAGGTCTCGTTTATTTTTTCTTTACTTTCGTGGTTGCATGTTAGTTCGAAAAACTTTTCATTAATTTGGAACAGCCCGTTCTAAACGAAGTCCGCCTGCTGACGTCCTCAAATTAAAAAAAAATAAAGCAAAAAGAAACAAGCTTTCAGTGTGCTGGTAAGAAAACAGCGCTAGAAGACCGGACGAACCGAAGCAGTATATACCACTTCTCTTTGTTCTTATAGCGCTGTTTCCTGCATATAACCATGAACCAACCAGACCAGATGCGTACCTTCTTTTAAAATTGGGCTTTCTGAAACGTAGTTGAGCAATTCACACAAAGTTACAAAAATAACGAACTATCGGCCGCACTAAGGGAGAGTAAACAGTGTCTTTATTACGAGTAGTGTGTACTTTACGCAGTCATTTAATTTTAGGGATAAATATGAGTATGGATGGGCAGAGCGTCGATGTTACTGTTTAGTAAACTTAACGCATTATTACCTTGTCTTTCATTAGCTTTCTAGTACAGCTTTAAGGATATTATTTTAAACATCGCAGCATTGCAGTCAAAGTTTCACGCTCTGTTTAGGCAAGTTACACCACAAATGCAAGCAGAGGAAAACAGAACGAAGCTAAGGAGGATCCATAAAGCCCATTACTCATTCTGCAGCTTAGCTCTAAATGTGGGCATCGCCCTAACGAATTACTATCTGTCGCTCCCGCCCTTGTGATCAGCCAGGTGGGTGTTTTATAGCGTTTTGCTGGACCAAGTAGAAGTTTATTCATTCACTCACTCACTCACACGCACGTACACACACACACATACTCACTTACACTCGCTTACACACCCACACACCCTCACACTCCCTCATTCACACTCACTCACCAGGTGCCTATTCGTCATCGTTATAGAGTGTGCGCACAGCCAGGCTATGAGTATTCTCAGTTTGTGCACGGGCCTCACCTTGTCCGTTGAACTATAGACAGTCCTAAAGAAAAAAAAAAATGAAGACCTAGTTTTAAAGCACGCGAGATTTTAGATCTGAATGAGAAATGCAGTGGAAAGACGTGCCAGACTTCACACTCGATGGGCTCCTCTGCTTCCTTAAAAATAAGAAGTAGCTTTTTAAAATTGAGTGGAAATACTCCTTGTTCCTGGACGCCATAAAAAAAAAAAAGAAATCGCTTGTGAAAGGCGTGTCTAGGCTCAGTTCTTGCTTTTGTAAAAGAAGTTTTTCATGAACGCTTTTTTCTTCCGTTTTTATATTTGCTCGTTACAGTCTCCAAGAAATGCGTATACTTCGTAACAAGCTGCTGAAGACATACGGCTTAGTTTGCTTCCTTTTGACGCGAATTCAATCGGGGAAAGGCACACTGGGAAAAGTTTGCTCACTTTTTATAAATTTATATTTTTCAGAATGTTTACTACCTTTAGTTGAACGCTGAGCTAATGGCTACAAATAAAACCAAATACGTGGTTTGGTGCGAGAGAAGTAGCGAAATAAAAGGGAAACAGTTGATGAATTATTTATAAACTGGAGCCTCGAAATGGATACCGGTACCGAGTCGGTGTCTCTCTGTTTCTAGCTCGGCTTTAGTTTGTTGTCCTTTTGTGCCCATCACTTCAATAATGAACAGTCATCAATTCGTAACACGTACAGTAGTCTATAGATATTTGATATATCAAAATCTATTTTAGGCGATATCTGTGATGTGTGAATCGACATAGAGCGACGGGTCCAGACATGTGTCATCTCACCCGAGTTACTAAAAATTCGGAAACAATAATGGACGTTCCGCTTACGCGCGTTTTCTTAAAGCCTTGTGCTCCCCACGAAGTCTCTGCCCGCTATCTCTACGGACTCTATATGCAATTTGATCCCGACATATGAACTGGACTATGACCATACATGCTGTGCTCATTCATGCATTGTATGCCCTATAATGTATGTAGTCTTGTACATATTGTATTTCATTAGTTTATTTTCCTTATTTTATTCTTACTTTTGCTGTTTTGTGTATTTATATTGTACATTACTGTTATAATGTTGGGATAGCTGGCTCTAACGTAGCCTACCTTCCCATGTTATGCCAAATATATAGATATATATAAAAAAGACCACCCACTGATGCGCTCCCACGATGAGTATACTTTTTACTCTAATAATAATAATAATAATAATATTATTATTATTATTATTATTATTATTATTATCATTATTATTATTATTATTATTATTATTATTATTATTATTATTATTATTATTATTATTATTATTATTATTATTATTATTATTATTATTATTATTATTATTATTATTATTATTGGGAAATTTGCGTGCTAAAACCACGATATGAATACGAAGCACATTGTAGTGAACGGCTCTTTCCATATTGGTAGAGGGGGAGGGGGAATTTTTTGCGTAATCTGGGAAAACCGATTGATTTGTGGGGTTTAACGTCCCAAAACCACCATATGATTATGAGAGACGCCGTAGTGGAGGGCTCCGGAAATTTCGACCACCTGGGGTTCTTTACCGT